CGCTCAATACTTTTCCACGCACATTCGTATTCGGGGTCACTATTTTATGTAGTGGTATTGACGGCATAAATCAACCCACACATTTTTTTTTTACTTTACGAATGTGTAAGAAAAAAAAAGCAACAAGAGAAAGAACACAAGAAAATAACTTCATAACAGGTACGATATTTATATTTATAAATGACAAGTTTTACAATAACTATTAATATAAGTTACTTCCCTTTGACTGGGCTAAAGTTTTTCTACTAAAATAATTTTTTACCTGAGCTCACAAAAGCTGAATTATCTTGTCGTTCAAAATGTTCACTGAAAGAGAGTTTAAAGAATCTTGTAAAGCTGAAAATATGTTGATAAACTTTTAGCTTTAAAGATGTTGGAGAAGTGAATGTTCCGTTTGTTTTCGTTGCTCGTAGTTGAATGTATTGTTCGTACTTAAGTTTCGTAAGATTCAATAACGTGATTGAATAGTTTTAAGTTGCAGAAGTTGGTGAGTGAATTGTTTGGTTGAAATTTTAGCTTGAATTACAGCAAAGTTATTTCGTGTTAAAGAACTTGAGATTCTAACTTTGTACTTCGCTGCAGTAATGATACAAGCGTTGTGAACTCGTTTAGCAAATGCTAGTCGTCGTAAATTCTCACTGACTGGGTTCGCTCGTACCTTCAATTTATGTTTTTTAATCACGTGATAGAATCCTGAGAGCATTGTTTTTTCGTCAGATCAAAAACTAGGTTGATGTTATTCGGACGTAGTGGTGAGCAGGTAAATTGTTTTTTTTAATATCTGTTAACCACTCAGAAAGCGCTTACAAAACTCAGTCTGGAGCCTGATATGTTTTGTGTTGCTTATCGAGAACAATGTACGTAAAGATATACGAGATAATTTTAATATTTATTGTTCAATGAGAAGTTCAGGTTTTCAGAAACATGTATGAAGATGTGATCCGCTTTTTGCACGAAAATTTACATTAATGAAAAAGTGGTAGCGGACAGCTAAAGACTCATGTGGTGAGTCCGGGTAAAAAAGAACTAAAAATATAGTATTCAATCAAACAACAATTAATAAATGCATTAACAAAAAATCATGCTATATAGAAGGATAAAGAAAAAAAAACGAAGTTAAAGTTATGAACAGTTCAATACAATCTTCAGTCTGTGTCTCTGAAGTACTTACAATGCATACCTCGTGTCTATCGGAACGAAAGGAAACGTGTGTTAGTTTTTTAAATATCGCGCCGCCTGTGATTATCGTCAAGGGGCGGTAATCCAACGAGATCTTTCCACACCGATCTACAGCAATTATTCAGTACAAAGAAAATGAATTAATAACTCGAATTACATGGAAAAAATATTACAAAGGTTTTGTTGTACTCGTTCATTATCTATACTCAATTAAGTAGAGAAACAACAATTTGAAAAATAAAGAACTGTGTAACATTGTGTATGCCTTAGACTTTTTAAATGTTGTCTTTATTGATTTTTAATTTTACTTGAATTTCTGTGATTAGATTTAATGAATAAATGAATTAAAATTTAACAGTGAAATTTTCCGTCAGATTTCAAAATATACCGAGTGTTTCTTTACCGAAAAAAATGATTTTGTTAAAAAAAAAAAAAAGCACCGGTAATTAGACCGGTGTTGAAGGAACAAAATTCCCGGTAAGTTAATGTCAGCAATGTCATGACCGGGGAATGATTGTTGTTAATTGTTGGTGTATCGGAAAATTATTTTTTACTTTAGAGATTAATAATGAATTGTTTTGTTTTATTTGATCTTCTCGGAATTAACTTTCCTTTATGATATAAAAAGATGCTTTTTATTGGTAAGTTAATAAGGTAAACTTTTCAGAATTAACATATAATTTAACAACGTCTTTTTAACTTATTTTGGTTTGATTGTTTTATTTTTTATCACATAAAGGTGCATAAATTTTCAAAAAACATTCTTGAACGGAAAATAAACATTTTCCGAATGTACATTTTGATGTTTTGAGCTGACGGTGCGGAGACAAAGTAAAAACTAAGCAAATCAGCTTTTTGACAAGAATTCCTTCTTTAGCGGCATTCAAAATCAGTCAAAGAGAGAAATTACAACCAAAAACTTTCTGTCATGAGGATTTATCGTTATTTACATTCGGATTATCCTCATCTTTGTTGTTATTATCACAAAGTTTCGGCTGTTGTACCTTCCGGTTTTCTTCAGATGTCTGTCGTGTCGATGTTGGTAACCTTCAGGGGATTTTGAACGGAACCCTTTATTTATTTAATTTACGACGTAGATTGTTCTCGTTCCGCTATCCATGTTTAGTGGATAGTGGTTGAAAGTGTTGGTTCGTTCAATCCTGGTTATTAATTATAAAATACAGACACAGACTCAGCAGTGGTTAGGGCAAACAATAACTGAACATTAAAAAAAAAAAAAAAAAGGGACACAATATTCCTAAACATGGACAGTAGAGTGAGAACAATCTACCCCTCCTCAACAATATCCTTATTTTACAAATGGGAGAATCTGTCTAGTCCCGGCGATTCTAACCCTGCGGCAACACCTTCCTCATTGCACTAAAAGAGGTTGGGGTAAGTCTAAATTCCAGCATGACAGTGGTCACAGGGAATAGGCTGTTTTTGTCCTTGGTTAATATGCATGGGCTCCCTATGTAACAACGACCTTGTCTTACATCCTGCCTTAGTGGGGAGGCCGGGTAAATACGAATTAATTTATATATATATATATATATATATATATCAACCATAAAATCCTATAAACAAATCAAATCAGAAGGTTAGATAAACAGTAATTGCTAGCCAAAATACTTGGTGAAGATTGTTGTAGACTTTGTGTTATTTTTGCACCATTTAGAAAATAATAACTCCCTTCATCACTCCTGCAGATTCAAGCAAAAGACCTTCACAAGCCAGTGCAAAGTTATTTTCTAACCAATGAAAACCTTGCATTTACAAAGGATTGCACTTCTATGTGAGATTAAATTTTGGATCCCTTTTACAGAGGTAAAAATATAAACATACTACTTCTCAAGTTTCAAAAACAATTTCATGATCCCCCCCCCTCGATATATTCTGGGAAGAATATATAAATTTTATTTCAATTGATGTACCACTTTTACTTTTCCTTCAGAGAATAACCTTTTTATGTTTCATTAAGATGTGTTGTTAAATGCCTGGAATCCTGGTACTCAGATAACAACAAAAACCTGGGTAGTTGGATACTGACAATATACCCAGATTGGCAGCTAGCTGCTGAAAGGCATAGCAGCCAAAATGTTGTGACAATAACAATAAATATGGGCATATTAGTCTTAATGTAAATAATAAAAAATACTTTTTCAAAATTATTTTTTGATTTCTTTGTGGCTTTTGAATTATTTTTTAATTTAAAACAAGTAAATTAATTAAAAATGCCTTTATCATGATATTACTTCTCTAAGGTCATCTAATTAGCTCTTTAAGAATAGGAAACCCATGGATCAAACTGTTTGTTAAGTATCTTTGTTTGAGTTACTAAATACTAGCAGTCAACTGGGTCTTTCATTACTGGGAATTTTTACTGTTCATTTGCAGCAGTTTAAGTTTAAAGTCAGCCCACCCGAAAATTAGGAGTAGTAACAACAATTGGGTGCAACTGAGGCACGTCCCCAAATGGCATGGTTAACAATCTGAAAAGGGCTGTTTTTGCATTCTCAATCTTGTTTCAGCCTCACGCACAGCAGCAGTTGAAGAGGCGTTTCTCCTCAGCTGTTGAGTCCTTTGATCATTTTCAGCCTCGCACGCAGAAGTGTTCAGGTATGCTCTTCTAGAAAGCTGATGTCTACGTTGATCTTCAGACTCAGTGGCTCTGATTGAAGCATTCCAAGACAGGCAAACTGAATGTTCTAAAGACGATTCATTATCTCTTATTTGCATGGTGGACCTGGCAGTAGCAGTTTTGTGACCTAGGCAAGTTCTTTTCTTTGGTGGCATGTCTTAGGCAAATATGAATTGTCAAATGGAATGCATGGGCAAATACCAGAGGAGAATGTTGAAAAGCTACAGGGATCAATAAGCTCAAATAACTTTAGGAAAGGTTGGAAAAATAAATGTTGAGTAATAACAAAGCAAGCTTACTTATTACTATGGTGAATGCAATGCAAAAACTGGCAGGACAATAAAAAAATTTAAATTGGGAACAGCTATAAATGACAATGAAAACAACGCCTTAAAACTGTAGTAGTAGGCTTTATGCACCAGAAAAGGTAATGTCACTTGAGGGAGATTGATTGTTTGGCCAAGAGAAGGAGAATGTGTAATTTGGAATCAAAACTGGCACTGAAGAATTATCTATCAAAAAAAAAAAAAGTTCATCGAAATTGGATGAAAACTGTGGAAACGCATAAACAACATCCGATGACACAGAGACACACACACACACACACATTTTGAGAATTATAGATATAGATAATATTAGTGTAATAATTTAAAGTATTTATTTTAAAGTTTTTATGAAAGATGTATATACAGGAACAGTAAATAGTAAAACATTGCTGAGAGTTATAATGGACAGGAAGTAGTGGAGAGCCATTGTTGCCAACGATTTGGACTCAAAACTGGCACTGAAGCATTATCTATCAAACAAAAAAAAATTCATCGAAATCAGATGAAAACTGTGGAAACATAAAGAACATCTAATCACACACACACATTTTGAGAATTATAGATATATAAGATTGACTTTTCATGCTCCTTGTTGTTTATTAAAGGTTATGAGAAATTTGATGATATTATATAATGCACTATCCTATTAATCTTAAAATATTACATTTATTGATGTGTAGACAGAATAATATCAAAAGTTAATTATCTTTTTATGGGCTTTTTAGTTAATAATGTCAATTTATACTCTATTTTCTCTTGCAGTTCAAGATGGCTGACTTGTGAGTTTGTGATTATTGATTTTCCATTTTCTTTTACCTGTTGAAGTCCAGTTCACCCATCATTTCTAAGCCAAAATGGCTTCTAGAGTAAAACGAACTCTTGCCAAACTTCTATTTCCATTCAGTGTGCTTGGCACTGCTATTGGAGGAATTACTATTCTCAAGTAAGTATTTTGGTTTAATATTTATTTATTTGGTTTTATTTAGGTGAGAATTCAAAAAATTTTTTTATTCCTTACAGATTTTAGCACCAAACTGGATCCTTACCTTTTTATTTCTTAATTTTTTACTTTCTAATTTCTAAAGAAAGTATCAATTTTTGCTGTGATGCTTTCTTTTCTATAACAATATGATAAAAAAGAAATGTAAATCATATAAAAATAATTAAAGGGTAAATAAAAAATACAATAGAGTAGATTTGTTTATTGCACCATCTGATGGTTTATAAAAAGGATACATGGATAAAATTTGTTTTTCAAAAATTTGTAAAATAATTTCAAGTCTGATGGTCAAAAAACCAGCCTAAATAAAGTTTGCCATCAGGTGGGGTTTAAAGAGATAAATTATTTTATTTTTTTAATCAATGGAGAAAATAGATTGTGATCCCATAGTATCTAATTTCTGATTCACTTTGGAGCTGATCTGTGTAGCTATTTAAGAAGTCTAGCTTGTAATTCTTAAGGAAGATGTCAGCTGTTTCTGGAAGCTGAACTTGGATGAAAAGGAAGAAGAAAAAGAAAGCTGAAGTGTTTGGCTGGTTCTGGAATCTGAACAAAAAAATCTAAAAGCCACCATCAGTGATGACTATGAAAAGAAAGAAGCTGAAACCAAAAGAAAAGAAAGTAACAGAAGAAAAATAAAAGAAAGCAGAAAATTATACAAATTTAGGGAGATGTATGATTACCTTTCTATAATTGTTTTAGAAAGTTTATCACAAAATTAGTTACTAACCCTGATTTTGAACCTTTTATGAAAATATAAGATTTATCTCATTTTTAAATCTCAGTTTGTAAAACTGAACTAAACAAACCAAATCCCAATAATGCCTATGAATTGTCAGTCTTCTTAATTACTTTTGACTTCACTTCATTCAACCATCAATGAACATTTTGTTGATAATTATAATTGTTTTTAGCTTAACAGTAACTTGTTCTCTTGTCTAAGTGTTAGATGCACAAAGGAAAATTTTCTGCTTGTTTTGTGCCAACTTGTATCTAGTATTGCTATATGCCTTAATATAGTATGAGCTGTTTCCTATGTGATATACAAGAAAGTACTAAAAATTACTCAGCCATAAGTAGAAAAGATTAAAAAAATATCTGATGTTTGATCATTTGGTCAGATTTATTGAAGTGGGATAGGCAAATAACTTTTCAGCATTTTTTGTATTGGGGAAATGGAGTCTGATTTTTTTTTTTTAAGTAGTTTCATTCTAAATTGATAATCAAATTGATATGCCTTTCTGCTGATAGAAAATAGGCATTGCAGTTATTTCAGCAATTAGAACTTTTTACACATTTACTTAGTATTACTAGTATGACAATTTGACTTCATAATCCCTTCTCAGAAATATGTTAATCATAAAGTCACCCTCTACCGTTTTTATTTCATTTGAACTATGGTGATTTACAATAAAAATCCACATTAATGTTGATAAATTTTTAGCAATGTTTATGTGATCATACTTGATCTCTTAGAGAAAAATGCATGCACACATTTTTTAGATCAGATCATCGTTTCTCAACCGGTGTACCCAGGCACGCTAATGTGGCCTGAAAGGTAGCTAAATGCAACCCAAGTCAACAGAAGAGTAATTTATTAATTATTTTTATATTTAAAAAATCTTTATTACATTTTTCTTTTTTCAATGATGTTGAATTATCATTAACAGCAGAAGAGGAGTTGGTCACTATATCTATTGATTGTGGCTTACAAATCAAGCATAAAAAAGGTGTCCATTGATCAATTTGGGATTTCCATTCAAGAAGAATATCCTTCAATCACTAGTAAAGCATTGAATATTTTATTGCAATTTTCCACATCATACATCTGTGAATTAGGATTTTCTGCACTTACAAACATTAAATGCAAAAATAGATAAAATATTAGATGCATTGATGAGGAAATGAAAGTATGTTTATCACATATCAGGCCAAACATTTCAAAAGATTGCACCGGTTTCACACAAGCATACGTAAGTATACAATGTCTTAAAAATAAATGCTTTTTTTAGGAGACTTCTTTATTTTCTTATTTTCAAATTTAATGACTAATTTTTCCTTATTAAAAATTGCATCTCAGAGTCTTAGTTATTCTACAAGTCCACCCTGAAGTAAAAATGGTTGAGAAACACTGCTTTAGTTGTTCATTTATTCCCTTTTCTGACAGGGACTACATGGGTGGAGTACATTATCAGGGTGAAGAGCGGATTGCAGGAAAGACAGCCATAATTACAGGAGCCAACAGTGGAATTGGAAAAGCTATAGCCACTGGATTAGCTGATAGAGGTGAGTAGTATAGAGATTAGGATTCCTTTTCCTCTTAGAGATTTCCATTGAACTAAACCAAACTAGAAACTTTTTCAGGTAACTTATGATATTAAGAGTAGACCGGTATCTTATATGTTATAGACTGTAAATGATAGTAGTTAAGTTTTATTAGTTTGTTAAAACTTAATTCAAGGCCTAACAGCAAAGGATCTACTGCTCAGCATGCTTAAATTTAAAGTGAAATCATTATAATCTAAAAAGGTCAGTGCTTATGAAAAACTCTACAGAAACTGAAATGGTAGATGTTTTAGTCTCATTTAGATCCAATAATTTTGGAGATGATATTTTGGATTCTAAAGTTAAGTGAGTAAGTGATGATAAATATTATTTGGACATTTTACAGAACAGTTACAACTGCTGATGGGAATAAATATTAAGCCTATAAAGTAATATGCCATGGTTAAGTGTAATTGACAAAAATGCCAAACAAATAGAATTGGTAACGTTTCCAATAAATAACAAGAAAACAAAGAAAAATAACAGTGCAAAATAGTACTAAGCAAACAATATATATGCAAGACAAAAGTAGGCAAAGCAACAGTAATAAGGCAAAAAGTTCACAAAGTAAGAATGGTGTTAACACACAAAAGGGATACAGTCAAGTGATTGTAGCATTCTGACCTTAAGAAAAAAAAAAAATATGTCAGATGAGACTGAGGAACCTATCTTATTGGTTAGAAATAAATGCGAGCATGCATCTGCACGATTTGTCTATAAATTTGGGGAAGGAGATGTTTTTGCAGTCATTCCTATACAGATTGGAACCAACAAAGCCAAATATGAGAAATCTGATTATGGAAAACTTGTTTTTCATTTTTTTTTAATTTTGGGCAGTTAACATTAGATTTAAATAAACAGTTTTTCATTCTCTTTTCATGTAAATATTATTTATTTAAATCTATCCAGTAATTGTTTTTATTTGTATCATAAATTAGTACACTATTTTATTGGTATCACCCCAAGCGAGGCAGGAAGCCACTAAAATGGAAGGGGTAACAGGGTGTGGAAGAATTGGGGACAGAAACATTATTAATGAGCAAGGAGAGAAAAGAGTGATTTTGCACTTAAATTTTTGCAGATTAAAGTTGGCTGGAAAGCATAGAACCAGAAGGGAGTTCCACAAGCAGGAAGTGTGAGAAAAGAAACTGTTAGCATAGAACTTATGCCTACATCTAGCCAGTTCAGCTGTAAATTGATGAGATCTTGACACCAGTCTAGTACTGTGCTTAAATTCAAAAAGTCTAGATACCATAGCAAAGAGCTCATCTGAACAATTACCATGAAAGTATTTATAGAAAAGATACAGAGAGGCAGCCTGACAATGAGGAAGCCGAGCCACCAGATCAGGACCAATAATATTGCTGATTCTTCTTTGGATTTTATCAAGGAGCTGAAGGTAAATAGCAAAGGTACCAGATCATATGTGGCAGCAATATTCTAAGCATGGATGAATGGTAGATTTATAGATATGTATGATAGATTTTCAAGAGAAAAATTGTCTTTCATGATACACTGAACCAACTTTCATAGCAGCTGACCTAGAAATGGATTCCATATAGTCTTTTCATTTCATGTCAACACAGGAAGGCAAAATGAGTCACTTTCCTTGAGGTTAGCATCAATCATACCAATGGAAGGCAGAGAGGGGTCTTTCAGATGATTAATAGAGAGAAGTTTAGTTTTGAAGGTATTAAAATTAACAAGCCATCTTCTGCCCTACTTAACAACAAACTTGAGGTTTTGGATATTGGCTGCTATTATGACCTTGTTGGACAGATCAGACTTACTATCGAGGCAGGAGTAAATGGCTGTGTCATCAGCATAGATACAACTTTTATCTAAATTTAAGTCCTTCAACCTTCATTTTTCATTTGGGTTTCATTCACCAGTTTAAAAAGAAGTGCCTAAGTTTAGTTAATTATTTTTGTTTGTGTGTATGCCATTATTGGTGACCGGTATGAAATTTTATTTTATGAAATTAGTTTAGAATAATTAAAAATTTTGTATTGTCCTGGTGTCTTTTTCAAAGATCAAACCAGCCATCCCAAAATAATATTTTATTATTCCTAGGACAATGGGACAACATTAAATTCAAGCCCTGTACTCTTTATAGTACATAGAAGTGATAGATGAGTGATTGTTAAAAATTGTGAATTCAAGCCTTGTGCATTATTAATCATTTTATCATATCATTTGTCTTTTGAATATAGGTGCCAGAGTCATTATGGCTTGTCGAGATTTTGACCGTTGTGAAGAAGCAAAGAAGGAGATCATTGAGGAAACTGCTAACCGTAATGTCTGTTGCCAAAGACTAGACCTTGCATCCATTGCTTCTATCACAGCTTTTGCAGAAATGATAAATAAATGTAAGTATTTGATATTCCTTTGTATTTTTTATTATTATTATTATAATTTTTTTTTAAAGAACTGTAATTGTTAGCCTCTTGAAACTCTGGCAGCACTTAACCTATTTCTCATGATCTTATACCTTTTTATGAGTTGTAGGAGTAGCTAAAATATGCAGTATTATTGTGAAAATTTCTATTTGTAATTTTGTTCATTAATACCATTATACTGTCCTGGGTATGATGATAAACTACATCTGACAGCAAGGCCTATGTTCAGGAGGTTTTGAGGAGCATGGAACCACCTTTTAATTGCTGGTGTTCACAGGTCCACCCTGATTTGGAGTGGTAACATCTGTTACGGTCCCAGCTATGGGCAAATAGTTAACCCCCAAACCCATCCATGTCCTGGGTAAGACGATAAATTACATCTGTTGTCCTGGGTAAGACGATAAACTACGTCCAACAGCAAGACCTCTGATCAGGAGGTTTTGAGGAGTGTGGAACCACCTTTTAATTGCTGGTGTTCCCAGGTCCAACATGACCCAGGGTGGTAGCACCTGTTAGGGTCCCAACTCTGGGCAAATAGTTAACCCCCAAACTAGTTTAAAACACTATGAAAGTGTAAAAATAGGTTTTAATACTTGCAATAAATTTTTTGAGGAAAAATTATTACCAGCAATACATTTTTAAAGAAAAAAATATTACCAACAATAAAAATCTTACACTATTTACATTGTGAGAAATATGGTAATAAAGATGAGAATGATAGTTTTTGCTTTTGTATGTTCTGACCTTCTTCAGGTGGTTGGAATGTCAAACTGAACCTTTTATTTCGTTCGGTAGGGTAGATAGTTCTAGTTCCACATGCCATGTCTAATGGATGTCAGTTATCTCCTAAGTGGATAAAGGCGTTAGTTAGATCCAGTGACAAGACCCAAAGAGTGTGAGTTCAATACCTGGTTAAGGCAGTAGAGAACTTGGGGAATTAACAGGAGATAACTGATATCCATTAGACATGGCATGTGGAACTAGAACAGTCTACCCCAGCGAGCGAAATAAAGGGTTCAGTTCGACATTCCAACCACATGAAGAAGGCTTGAGCGTACAATGGCCAAAACGTTGTGATAAATATGGCAACAAAGATGAGGATGATAGTCAGAAATATAGACAGATAATAAAAATCTTGTGGGCATTAAATAACCCATTGAGGTTGATATGCTGTAAAATAAAATAAAATAAACCAAGCCAAACCCATTATACTTCACAGGAAATGTGCAGCAGTCAAGAATTTTTATGACATTCACAAACCATGAGTAGTCTAGATAGCTAAAATGTGTAGCAATAAGAATTAAAGTGTGTAATTCAAATTTTCAAGTGTAGTGGAACTCCAAACTGTGTAGACTGCTACACAAAATGTGTAATATAACCAGGTCTGCATTCAGATGTGTTTTAGCCTTCAACACTTGCGTCAATTTCAGTCCTTGAAACTTCTTAGCATAGTCCTGGAAAAGACCTGAAATATTTTTACACAGATCTGTTTTTATGATAAAGTGTGAACATACATTTTTTAAAATTTTTATTTTTAAAAGATTTTTTTTCTTTTGCTATTTGTGTGTGCTGAAAATATCTAGGCTTGGCCAAGAAGTTCAATCCAAAAAAACACAAATTCTGATATTTTGTAATTTGGTCAGATTTTGAGAATTGAATCCAGCAGAGAAATTTTCAGCAACCCCTTACAGAAAGAAAACCTCCAATCTAATTTTTTGTTTAATAAAAGAACAGCTTTCATTAAATAACATAGTTTTTAGAATGTTTATCAGCAAAAAAGAAATCAGTCATGTTATATTTGATTTCAACTAATTTCAAATTATGAAAAAAAGTTAAATATCATAACTAAATATACCATCAAAAACAAATAATTGTTAGATGGAGATTATTTGATAAAAAAATGTTTCAGCATCATTGAATTGAACTGCAAATAAAAATGTTCAAAATGTTACTAAAAAAACAATGGAAAACACATTTTTAAACAGGTGTTTTTGTCAATTTTTCCGGTTACACTTAATTTGGAAATTCTTGCAAAAATCAAATAATTGTTGAATTTTAATGAAACTTTCAGGACTTATACACAAATGAATTAAATTATTTTAGAAATGTTTTTTTTTAAACATGTTACCATGTATAAATGTGAGAACAGAATGTGGGGACTAGTGAGAGACAACAAAAGCCATATTTAGCAGCTGTCTCATAAAATACAGTAGTAATCTGCATCTGGATTCACTCTAAGAGTGATTGAACTCAACAAGGTAATAGACACATAACACCAAGTTCTATGCTAAGTTTCTGCTCTCGCACTTCTCACTTGTAGAGCTCTTTCTAGCTTCCCAGTCAGCTTTTATCTTAAAAATTTAAATGCAATGTCAATCGTTATCTTGTGTTTTTATTGTCCTCTCTCCTTAATAGTAGTTTTTCTCATATTCGCTAACCCCTTACATCCTAGCAGCTCTATTTGCTCGGGGTGAAATGATTTTAAAAAAAAAATTCTTTATTTTCAGATGAACCTCATGTTGATATTCTTATAAACAATGCTGGAGTCATGATGTGTCCAAAAGCCTTGACTCAAGATGGATTCGAACAGCAGTTTGGAGTTAATTATTTAGGTCAGTAAAACATTTTTTTTTTTGTATGAAGAGGTTCTACACAATAACTGGAATTATGATTCATTCTCACACAATTTTGAAAAGAAAAAAAAACAAACAAAAACTGAGGGTCATTTCAAACTCACCTTCTCAAATCATTTTTGATTCTCTCAAAACAAATGAGGCACCAATTTTGTGGAAATGCATTTTATCCCAATTTTCTGTTAACACTCAGACAAAGCAATCTCCTGATATCTCATTAATGGTTAGATTTTTGTTGGAACAGCCAGATCACAATATTTGAAATGCAAAACTTCTCATACACACGTTTTATCTGAAGCTTTTTTTTCTTAAAAACTTCTCAAAGGATTAAGTTTCAGCAGCAGTCTCTACACAAAATAAAAAAAAGAAAACTTCACAGTTCTTTTTACATCAGCTATTATGAAAATGTGTGAAAACACCAGTACAGTCCAGGAAATAATTATTAATACAGAATCACACCATCAACATCAGTCCCACAACCAGATATGGCCATAGGACACTGAACAGCGTAATGTACAATTACATCCAGTTTACATACCACATTCAAATTGTTTTTCTTGGGGGTAGCAGTTCATAAAATGAGCTGATGTTGACGAAATACCCAATTTATTTAGTCTTCCACTATTTTTCTTGATATTAAGTGCACAGTTTTTATGCAATTGCTATCTTAAGACTTTTGTTTTAGGGAAGCACAACAGGGAAGAAAGAATAAGATTAAATTTTGTAAAGTTTTATGAAATAAAGTTAAATATTTCAGAATCTAAAACGTGTCTTATAAATGATGTCACAATTGTTGCTAAAAGAACAAAAAACAGTCATAGATATTGACACTTTTATTGAATTATGAGACTAATTCAAGTAAAATTTACTTTGTATTATATTGTTAAATTCATGAAAATCACCACTGATCAGTCATAATAATTGTAGCTCAGTTACCAAGATTGATTCTTAATTTAAAGCCAGAATTTTTTCTATTAATTCTTCAGGTCACTTCCTGTTGACAGTTCTTTTAATGGATAAAATGAAGAAGTCGGCACCCAGCCGTATTTTAAATATCTGCAGCTATGCATTCCGAGATGGTGTTATGAACTGGACTGATCTGAACAGTGCCAAGACTTATGACAATAAAGCAGCGTTTTGCCAAAGCCAATTAGCCAAAGTTCTTTTTACTGTTGAACTTGAGAAACAACTCAAAGGTAAGAAATTCAAAAGTTATATCCATTGGATTAATTACTAATGAAATTTTGAATGAAGAATAAACCAATTATTTTCACACTGTAGAAATAATCTCTTTCAGTATTTGGCCAGTGGAAAAGAACATTTGAAAGCTTCATTGAATTTAATGAATAAAATGTGGGGAGAAAAAGTTAATTAGTTTTGATGAGTTGAAAGGTTCTTAAACTGAAATCTGATTAATTTGGATGAAATTTAGTATAACTAGGTATGGCCTTGTGTCATCCACTATACTTGGTAAGCAAAAATGGAAAATTATAATTTTTAACTTCAGTAGAGGAAGTAATTTTTATATATATATATATATATATATAAAAATCTTCCTCGAGATGAAGTTGTTTGCCTAAAGACCTATTGTTTAGTGAATCTTTTAAACAGAACAATTTTGGAGAATAGGCTTTACAAAAATGTAGGTCATGTGACTAACAAGCCATGTAGTTTTGTTTGCATGAAAACATTTACCAATAGTTTGTGGGGAAACTGGCCAGTAGGGCAGATTGATTTTTCACTTTCTTTAGAAAATCAAAATTGTGGTGAGGGGTGATGTGATAAATACTGCCACCAAAATGAGATTCATAGCTTTTACCAATTTTTGAGCATTTAGTTTAATTAGATAATCTGAAAAAAAATGTACAGAAACACCTAATTTCTGCAGGTTTTTGCTTACAATTTGACTTCAAATTTTACTATTCCAAGAATAAATCTAAAGTTAATATTTTGTGTATTAGATACATTGAATGAAAAATATATTCAAACCAGAATTCTAAATTATGAATAACCACAAGTAAAATTTATTCTATTTTTTTTTTTTTTTTACTGTATTCGATAAGTAAAAAAAAAGTAAAATATTACAAAAAAGGCCACATAATAAATAAAAGCAAAAAATAGATAAAAGTGTATATAACACCATAATATGGCTGAGAATAAATAAGACAATGTTTTAAATTTGCATTGTTTATAGAAAATCACAGTAAAACTGCCACACTGTAAGACATATTGCATCATAATGTATCTAGATTTTTCCTTTAAAGTAAATGAAGGCCTTATTTGGTGGCACAATAATTTAGTAATAATGTGCTTGTGCCATGCATATTGTCCCTATATAATTTGTAAAGCTTCAGTAAATTATACATTTTATGAGGCTGTGCTGTCAGGCTTTCACTAATCACTGGAATAAAATTGCAATGTTATGATTTTGAACCTAAACTCAATCTTTAAACACATTTCCTCAAAAAAAATATTGTGTCATTATTTACTACTAGCAGTAGAGCCCGGCGTTGCCCGGGGATGTAACAGTAAGAGATAGATCAAGTATGGACGATCATAAAGACCAAAAAATAAAATTGACAAAGATTATTGTTTAAGGTTGACGGACACGCATGTCTTAATTATTTTTTTTTTTTTTTTTACAAATTGGTCAAACCCAAATTCAAACAAAAACATTGTTTACAATCGTTATGAGTCTATCGATTGGTGAATAGAATTTTATTATAAACAATTGTCTTGTAAATGGAATTTTTAAAGCATTCTGAATGTAAAAATAAAGAAAAAAAATGTGCAAGACAATAAGAAACACTACCTGCCAAAAAAAGTTTTGTTGAAAAATGTAGATAGCCTTTCTCTGTAATCTTTTACAATTTATGATGTTTACTTATTGAATACAGTAAAAAAAATTGCATATTTTGCTTGTGGTGATTCATAATTAGAATATATTTTCCACTCGTTGTTTCTAATACAAAAAAATGTTAACTTTATTTGGGTTTATTAATTTATTACAAGTACTGTGTTCTTTCCTTAATAATTATCATCTTCGAAATATTGTTGTTTTTTGTCTATCAGATTTCTTACGTTGGCATTTTTAAATTATTTCTTAATACTTTCTTTTAAATATTGAATTAATTTCAAATAGAACCAATGCCTTATTGATCTGCCTTGTAACAAATTGCAAAGGGAATTGATAAAACGGCCCTAAAGTACGTGGAATTATCTTTCCCTATTTTATCAAATCGAAAAAAATGATTGAAAATGATTATCTGTCCTTTTTTTTTGACCAAAAAGAACAATATTTTTAACAAAAATTTCAGACGTGCTAAGAACGATTAAAAAAAAAAAAAAACCCCAAAATACTTTGATCTTTCCTCTTTAATAATATATGAACATTAGATGATAAAATTTTTTCGTCAAGTTCGGCTTTTTTTTTCATCATGCTATGCTCTTTTGTTTACATTTTCGTGGGTGAGTTGTCCCCCTTTCATTCTCACGATGTGTCTTAATCGTGTTTTCAAATTGATTTTGTTTAAAAAAGCAATGTGTTTTTCCCATTTTTGGCGCCGTTAGAACCACCACAAGGTAATTTTATGTAGTCCTGTGAAGTTTTGTTGAAATCGGCTAAAAAAATGTAGGAAATTCAATCCAATATATAAACGTTACACACACACAATCTGCGTTTTATAATAAGTAAGATATCAAACCCCAACTTTCAAATTGAGTGCAATACCATGGTTTCAAAATCAACCTGCCCAAGGTGCTTTCTGAACAATACATACTCTGGCAGCTGTCTTTATTTTATCTTTTCCACTCCCATTGATAGGTACTGGTGTAACAGCAAATGCCGTCTACCCAGGCTTGGTTCGCACAAATATTACTTCACATTTGAGCATCAACAAGTCATACATCTCCAGTTTCTTCCTTGGCCCTCTCCAGTGGATAATGATGAAGAACCCAGTCCAGGGAGCCCAGACACCTATTTATTGCAGTGTCAACAAAGATATAGAAGAAGTTTCAGGAAAATTCTTCAGGTAATTATGGATTATATTTAGGCAAGTTTTATTATTAACCTCTCTATGATGAGAGTGAGTGTAATCAAATTTAGTAGAGTAAATCTTTTCACTTGTGCACCACAGACATTTCAAAATTACTTCTCTACACTTAATGCACATCCTAACTGAAAAAGCAATATTTTTTTTTTTCAGGAATTGTCAGGAGAGTCCATTACCATCAAATGTAATTAACCCAGAGGATGCCAAGAGGTTGTGGCTGGTCAGTGAAAAATGGATGAGACTTACATGACAATGACCTGAAGCACTTAAAATTTTTGTACTATAAATAGTTAATTGGTTGTGAGCACTTCAATAGGATTTAATGGACAGCAAGCTTGTCTTGACATATCAATTACTACCAAGTAGTAAGTTCAATTCTCACTAGGTGCTCTATACTTTTGGCCTTGTGCCACATAAGATTCCCTTAGTAAATTACTATTGTTAATTGGTTGAGTAATGAATATGATTTTGAAAAGAGGAAATAAATGTTGAAAGATGCTACAAATCAGTTGTTCATGCTAATCTCTTAAATTTTTTTTTTTTTTTTTTAAAAAAAGACTGATCCTTGCAACTTGTGGCTAAAACATTTCAACCAAAGCCAAATTCCCCTAGAGAATGATACAAATTTATTCCAAGGCCACTTATCAATGAAGTAGGAGTACAATTGAGGTTGATATCTGAGAACCAGAGATTGACTTAATTTAAACAACTTAAGACCACAAGTTCTCATCTGAAAGAATCTGTAAAACACAACCTAGACTAGAACAAGTTTTACAATAAATGTGATATAATAATTATTGTCAATGAAGTCTTCAAAATTAACTCAATCATTATTTTACAGTATAATTATTCTCCATTTATATTTAATGAGGTAATCAGAACCAACTTGTTCTCATGTTAGTGGCCCTAAGAATTCAAATAACTCCCAATTACAAAAAAAAAAAAAAAAAAAAAAATTCTTTTTCCCTTGACCACTTAATTTACACAATATTGTTTTTGTTATGTAACCATCATCCAAACATTCATTTCTTGCATTAACCAAAGCAAAGAGCAGAATTTTAAGCTTTTCCAGTTATCTCTTTTGCTGTATAAAACATGTAAATACTAAAATAGATTTATTTCTGCCTTCCTTAAGCAAGAGAACAGAAAAAGCACAACCATTTTTTTTTTAAATCATTAAATTAGGTACATATGAGAGGGGGAGTAACTATGAAATAGGACAATACTAAATTTTGTTGGAATTAAGATATTATATAGAAATGAACAGACGGTGTGAAGATGCATTTATTTTTTGTAGATTAGTTTGTGAAAGAAATCCAAACTTCCCATAATTCATAAATATTTTCAGACAATTATTTTGCTATCCATTTTTAAATAATGATTAAAAGTAGTACAATTGATTAAAAGAAAATTTACAGTTTTTCATCTGTTAAAATATAAATGCTGATTTGATTTTCTCTTTGAAAATTTAATAATGCAAGATATGTAGTTTATAAATTCAAATAGTGCAGATAATCTTATTTACAATTCAATCATTACAATAGTCAGATAAATCACAAAATTAGATGAAACTAAGTAAAAATGCTGGTTTTGTTGTGAATTTCCCTGGATAATAATTTTAGCAAATATGTGTTCAAATTTTGGTTCTCAAAAATTTATGTTTGTGAAAAGATCAATAATCTTAGCCATTTAAAAATACTTTTTAAAAATAATTCATTCATATGTTTGTACAGATTATCTTTAAGTGAAAAGAACTAGATACATTGTGAATAAACAAAATTAAGTTCTTAAAAAAAAAAAAAAAAAAAAAAAATGGGGACAGTTTAGAGAAGCATTTCCTCACAAATCTTGCTAAAATTCATAAAAAATACCCAGGTTCATAAAATAAGGCACATTGAATCTGGAATGAAGAGAATTAAGAGTAACAAGTTTTTCCCCTTCAACCCAAACTAAAAATATAGTGGGGGGTTGGGAGAGAATAAACAGCATAAATAAGTTATACCAAATTCAATAAACAACATTTTTTAACATTAAAAAATATATTTTTTTTAAAAAAAAAAAAAAAAAAAGGGACAAGAAAATTCTAAACATTAAGACTTGGTAGGAATTATCCGTCCTTTTTTCAAAGCCTTTTTCAGTTTAGTCTGTTTCTTTGAATCTTTCCTTGTTTGGATATTACGCTCTCTTTCGTGCTTGTTTGCGTTTTAATTTTTCTTCTAGATTTTCTTTTCGTTCTTCCCATGCTTTCTTTCGTTTTTCTTTCAACTTTTCCTTACGTTTCAAAGCCTTTTTCAACAAGTCAAGATTATCTTTGACCTTCTGTCCTGAAGCCCTGTCCAAGGCTGCTTTCCATTTCTTTTCCTGCAATACTTCATTGGCTGCCTGCTTGTCAACAGTCTCTAGTTTCTTGATTTCTTCCTCTTTCTTCTCTAATTTCACTAACAGCTGCTTGTAATTCTTGCCATGCAAACCTGTTATGGTCTTTCTCCTCTTCTTCATCTGACTCTCTGTTGTGAGACCCCCAAACAGCAGTTGGTCCGATGGTTCCACCGGTTGCTTCTTGGAGTTTTTTTTTCCTTTAACCTTGGAGTCTTTGGAAGGGTTTTCCTTCTTTCCTGTCAATGCCTTTTTCTTGGCTTGCAATTTCTTTTCTTGCTTTTTCATACGGCGTCTTTCTCGAATTGCATTTTTATTTAGAGAACCTCTCTGGGCTGAAAAGGAATTGGGGGAAAAAAAAAAAAAAAATTAATATAGTCTAATTACATTGCATCTGTATATTTCATAGTAACAAATGACGTTACAATATAGAAAAATGCACAAAAAGAAAAAACCTAGAAATAGACAATATGTACAAAGCAATTCACTTCCACTGTCCATAAAAATGAACAATCTCAAAATAATTGAGTGATTTTTATGTAGTAGAAAATTCTAAGGGACGCAACTCTTGACACGAAAACAACTTAGAAGCAAAAATAATTTAATAGAAAAATTCAAGCTAACAGTATTTCAAGAAATTGTTGCATTATGACTCTTGGATATTTTATATAAAATGGGTTAATTTTTCATGCTCACATTAAAAAAAAAAAAAAAAAAAAAAAAAATTAGCCCTCTCCCGATCTTAAACGTTTCAAACTATCCAGTATTCCTACATTATATTTATAAAACCCAACAAAAATTCATCCCAAACTATTATGTTCAAGTCTTTTTGGTTAGTCCAGCCACCTCACCCCTGATTATGTCACTGCTATTAACAAAGCACTTTATACTAATTAGCATTGACTAAGATATGGCTAAGTAAGTTTAAATCTCAAAGGGTGCTTCATACTTCTGGCCTTGTGCCAGACTAAACCATCATCTTGATAAAGCTGAATATATACCTCCAGGCATGTATTAAAAAAACTGCAATAATTTAAATATCTTTGAAGTTTTAATTGCAAGAAAAAAAAAATTGTCTAAAATGCACTTTCGGCACATTTTTTTTCTTTACTTTAAAAATGGTTTACATTTCAGTCAATAAATTACCTGTAATGGTCATTTCCAAAAGTTAAGCAGTTTTTAACATTTCTGGCTTTCAATTTTAGTCTAGATTGTTTTAGGTGTTGCCATAGGATATGGCTACACAACCAAGATATTCAACTTGCAATGGCAGGACTAACGTTTTGCTTGAAAAAAAAAAAAAAAAAAGTCACCAGACTGCTAAAGTTTTAAAACCTAAAACTGAAGTAGATCTCATTTGAATTTCATAAAAAAGGAAAAAAAATACTTAAAATAAAATGAAGACTACAAGTGTTTGTAATGGGGGGGGGGGGATACTATATCAATTTATTGCTTCACACTTTTCCACTTACCACTAATAACGCCACACCAAATTTAACGGATGTTCAGGAGTCTGTTCAAGTATAGAAGATCAAGTGATCCACTACCTCAAAACAAAACATTTGCATGTACAAACCATGTTACTAATCATAAATAAAAAATAATACATTTTATGTTCTTTAAGAGAAACTCCAAATGTATACATGGGTCAACTGGGAGGTTATCAAACTATTTAACATTTTTTCAGTGAAAAACAGATGGGCACTAAACAAAAAAATCATTTATAAATGAATAATATTGGACTAATTTGGGGTATTTTTTCCTTTTAAAAAAAAATCAATGTAGTGCATTTACTAATGAACCTTTATATGATTTTTACAGTAAAATGGTGTTTTTTAAAGTATAAGCAACATTATCCTGTTCTCTACAATGGATAAGTTTTATAAACAAAATTTTCTCCACAAAATTTTTTTTTTTACAATTTATAGTTTTGACAGAACATTTTTATTGACACCTCACCTTATTCTCAAAAGCTGTGTGAAGGAATTCACAGGAAAGGCAAGATATTGATATTCTGCTTACAAGAACAGAATGAAAATATTTTCAAAATATTTTACACATTTGTTTAAAATGAAATATAATTAAGTAGCTTTTATGTGCATATAATTTAGACATTGATGAAATTATTGATGCTAAGTTATGCATTATGTATATGCTATAGTGAATACTTGTTAAAAAAGTATATTTATTGACATATTAAAGAATTTCAAGAATTACCTTGCAGGGAATTAATTTTTTTTTGAAGTCTTAATTCACGGCTAATAGCATCATCTTCCTCTGAAAGAAAGAAAAAAAAAAATCTTTCATTATATATGTAAACATTTCAGGAAATTTTTTTTTTTTTTCAATGAAAGGAAATTTACAGATATGTTGACAGATTGATAATGAAATGTCACTTTCTGCTTCATTAAAGTACAAATGGGAATCTACTTGCATCAAATGACATGCCACTCAATTTCAATAACCGTTCAAAGGAAAAGTAAGTATCAAACCTGGTTTTATTGCATTAATATTGTGACTGTCAAAGTTAATTACACTAAAACTGTAATAATATACATTGATGAGGCAAAACAGGAGATCAGTGACATGTGGCAAGAATGATACCCATTTCCTCATAATTACACACATTAGGGTAAGCTGGCTTGAAGTACTTTATTTTGAAGGACCAAGATAAACAATTTATCCTTTTATCAATACTATTCAAATGGTTATGGTAAGATTGCAGATATAGCATAGCTTGCACAATCAGTTGCAATGAATACTCATTGACAATGGTCCAAGGAGAGGAGCTGAAGAAGAAAAAGCAGACAAGGACTACTGTGGCACAAATCATAGATGTCTTGAAGTAAAGAAGGTTGAGAAATACTGTTCTAAATACATACTCGCACAAGCATTTAGCTTAACAGTTTAATAATTTTAGGTACCTCCAAAAATTTGCTAAAAACGTGGACGTACATAATAAAATGCCCCAAACTTAAAGTGTTATCAAAATTTTTTATTGAGAAAAGTTCAAAGAATTTTTTTGGTGTAAAATTTAAAAAAAAAAGAAAAAAAAAAAAAAGAAGTTCTTTTTAGACAGAACCTTGGAAATTTTGGTTAAGCAATTTTTTTATATTAACACAAGACCATAAATTTGTACATCTTTTTGCAGTGAAAAAAAGAAATATATATATATATATATATATATATATACACATACATACATACATTTTTTTTTTCATCTGTTACCCCCACCACTTCCTTTATTCAATGAAATTCTTTTGTAGCACTTAATGTTTATATTAGTTATAAGGCCAAATCCTTGGAGAATTTAAATAATGAAATATTTTGGTTAAGCAGGATTCCCAGTTACAGAACATGCTTTGAATTGTAAAATAAAAAATGCAATAAAACTTAAGACATTATTTAATCAGAAAAACTATTAATTGCTTAATGAATATTATTATGGACACTATTGCCTTAATACAGTGATTTTTTGTGATTAATAAATTTACAAGAATTGTTTTCATTTAAAAAAAAAAAAAAAAAAAAATGGAATAATTTACAAACTTAAATCTTTTAAAGTTTTGTATTAATTTGTAGTGGTCAAGTGATATTGTTACTAAATTAAGACTAGTAAGTATAAATGGAATAGCTTACTACACTTCAACCCGCAAGATTTAAAAAAATTTAAATTTATTTTATGTGTGCATAAAGATGTTGATTTTTGTAAATATGGATGTACAAGCACAATATTATCAGAAAATAAGAGTGGTTGGTAACTATAGTCAAGTTAAAATTTCTTGGTAATTTTCTAGCAATTCCTCAACTGTTTTTGTAAGCTACGCTATAAAGCTAAACTATCTAAAATACAATAGATTGCTTAGAAAGAATATTTAAATTTTTAAAGATTACTGGCTAGCTAAATAAAGGTGTGCTTGTTAAAACACTCGCCCCCGGGTTAAATACTTTGTGATATTTCAAACTAAAAAAACTAAAAAGTAATATTTGTTTCAAGAACTTTAAATCAGGTAATCTTCCTCAAATAAAGTTTCAGAAAAGCTTATTTTGTTTTTTAAAGACTTTAAAGAGAATTATGTTGTGATGATTGAACGAGTAGCCTTTTTAAAAAAAAAAAAAAAATTTTCAATCAATTTAAAATCACTTTGAAATACAAAGTATTTTGCTAATTGGAAATATTAAATTTAAGCTTAAAATTAATACTAAAATAAATTAAAAGCTTAATAACGAAAGAGTGATGGTACAGAATTATGAGCGACTCGAAAGAATGAAAAATTTTAAAACATTGTCTTTAAGTTTTCATAGTAACAGAAAAAAGATTTGTGAAATCACCAGTGTTATCCTGTGTAGAATTAGGGGTTATTTCATCTTTTGGTGTCACTGTCAGTGGGGTCTTAGTAGGACCTCCAGGAAGAAGGTAGAAGAAACGTTCAAAAAGATTATCATCCTCCTCAATAAAAGGAAGTGTATATGTTAGTTCTACCATCTGAGGAAAGAGAGAAAAAAAAAAAAAAAAAAAGCAATCAACATACAAAGAAAGTATTTAAAAAGTAAAATTACAATATTTCAGTTAAGCATTAATAATTAGAATTCATTCAATACAAATAAAACAAACATATGTACAAAAAAAAAACAACAAAAAAAACAACCGAGTTGGGTATTCCTTGCTTCGAAACAGTTTTTTTTGTGATCACCTTTGATACGCTAAATTTTTATAAAAGTTCTCCATAGGAAAGCATGTACAAAACATTTATGTATACTATACCGATATTATTGAACTACAAAAATACTGTTGTAGTCTAAAATAAATTATACAGAAAATGACTATGCTAGCACTTTATGTAAATGAAAGAAAAATTAAATCATGCCTATGACGCAACATCAGTTATTGAATGTTATTAGGCAGGGAAAAATGTGACAATATAAATTTATTTTGTAAAAAAGAAAAAAGTTTAGAACTTCAAACGATTTCTGCATTAAACTGTTATTCTATTTTCTTTTATAAACTTTACTGTTTAATTTAAACAGTAAAATTTAAAAAAGAAAATAGAGGAATATATGGTGATAAATCGGTGTTTAAACACCGATTTATTACCATGATAAAAAAAAAAAAAACCACCCGATATGCAGTACAATAGGCTTCAACTATTTTTTTCATAAGTAAAAAATATAATACAAAAATCTGAAACCAATTCTTAATTTCAAAATAAAATAAAAATAAAAAAGTTGGACCTACAGCCAATTTGAAAAGTCAAACATCCCAAATGCAATAATTTATTTCAACTATTTTTAAAACCCTTATTTATAAAAAATAAATAAAATAAAATAAACTAAGTCCAAATTATAAAATCAACGATTCAAAAACAACTATAAAAATATACAAATCAACTATTTTTGTGCATAAAAAAACGTTTGGCTAAGAATTAAGGGTTAAAAACTGCCCCAAAATACACGTGCTTAAAAAGCGTGAACTCACACCATAAATAAGGCAAACAAAAGTAAACGTTATAATTTCAGCTTCAATACAAGTCAATTTTCTTCTAAAAAAGTGCATTCTTATCGACATTAAAACAATTAAAAATAACATAAAATAAATAAACAAAACTTGCCCTATGTTTTGCAATCCACGTCCGACTTAAATTTGTAGCAAGATACTTAAAAAGAGCATGACTTTATATTTCGATTCGTATTTCGTAAGAAGACTAAAATTATCACAATTTAAGCCAACGTTTATGAAAATTTTCTATAATTAAATTCTATTTAAGAATAAAAACAAATTTCTTATAATTAAATCAAGTTTTGGAAAATTTACATTAAAATGATATTTTAATAAATACGAAACAACAATGAATACTGAAAGAATGAAGGTTTCACTTGTATAAGTTCGAATTCCGTCGAAGTTGTAAAGTATTTTTTTTAAATTACTGCTTTAAAAAATTATTTCTATCATAGATGAAGAACTTATAAACTTATCAATCAGACTTTATTGGCAGAAAATAAATAAATTCTTAGTAGAAAATAAATATTTCATTTCACTCATGCCTATCTTGCAGTACTGTAAAGGTCAGTTTGTCTTCTTATGCGAAAAAAAAAAGAAAAGAAAAAAATTCTTTTCCTTTTTTACTAAATGTTCGCCCAATACAAGGCCCAAGAGCCACTCAAGAGCGTTTCTGAATGTGATTGCTTTATGGGCATGAAAAAAGCATAGTTTAGGAATATGGCTAAATAATAATTAGGCTAAAAATAGATAAAAAAGATTTACCTTTCCAAAAATTTGATACTTAAGTTCTAAGTTTAAAAATGCGTTTAAAAAAAAATGAAAAAACATTCTTTCTTGAAGCTTTAATTTATAGTTTTAATGTCAAGCTAATAGATTAAATTTAATGTTTCCAATAAGCAAAATACTTTGGTGTATTTCAAACAGAATTTAAACTGATTGGAATTTTTTTCTCCTTAAAATCTATAAATTTATCCATATTGACAGATCTTTAAACAAACATAATTCTCTTTATTAAAAAATCTTTTGAAAATAAAATATACTTTTCTGAGACGTTATTTGAGAAAATTTAGCTGATTAGTTCAATTAAACTGAATTGAAACATTACTTTTAGTTTAAAATATCACTGAAAAGCATCATTTTTAAGACGGAATGATTTTTTGACAGCGTGATGTTTGGAGAATTTAAGTAAGGAGAACATAATTGAAAAAATTACATGATTACAATGTGAATGCCTTTTTTATATTTTTTTAACTACTCAGTAATCTTAAAAATTTTAAGCATTCTAATATTTTATTGAATTTTAGGTATGAAGATGCTTGTTGAGGAAATGTTAGAAAATTACTAATAAATTTAAAATTTACTTTAGGGACTTTTCTGATTTTCTGATAATGTTGTGTATGGACATCCATATTTACAAAAATCAACGTATAAAAACAATTTTATATTCTTTTCAAAATACAGGGGGTTGTTGAATTGTAGTGATCTTTTTTTTATTTATGATTAGTAAATACAGTTTTAATTTAATAACAATATCTCTTGACCACTACAAATTAATACAGAATTTAAAAGTTAATAAATTATTCTAATTAAAATGTAAAAAAATGAAATCAATATCTGCAAAATTTCATGTTAAACATTAAGGCTTAAGCAGTACAAAAAAGAATTTCTTGAGATTTCATAAAATTAAATGATTGGCAGGTAACAAATGTAAAAAAAATCATTATTTTTATAAAGATTTTCCAGAAAGGAATTATTTAAAACATAATTTCATTCATTTCTGAATAAGTCCTAAAAGTTTCATTAAAATCCAACAATTATCTGATTTTTGTAAGAATTTCTAAATCAGTGTTTTTTTTCACCACAAAAAGATGCTCAAATTTCCCAGAAAAATTTAAGGTCCTGCATTGATACCAGAAAAACAAGATTTTAACCAAAATTTCCAAGGTTCTAAAAAGGATAAAAAATATAATTTTTACATCAAAAAATGCTTTGAAGTCTTAATAACAGTACAAAAATTTTTCTGATAGAATTTTGTTTTTATTATGTTTGAGGCATTTTTTTCATACTGTATTCACTTTTTTTTAGTGAATTTTTGGTGGTACTTACTTGAAGAAGTTAACACTGTGATTGGGGAAACATTTTCTCAGGTATCTGTTCTACAAAGTAGAAATTTTAAGAAAGAAGGTATTTGAGTGGAACTTCTTCCTTACCAGTGGAATATGAAGGGAATTGGGATGATTTGACTCTGTGTACATGGCATGACAGATCCTAGCTGTAAAGGTTTGAACTGATGGAACTAGAGAATATAGCTTGTTTAAACATTTGCCACAGAAAGAGTAGCAATAAGCTTGTAATACTTTGTCTATGGGTAAAGAGGTTGAAAATAATTCATCACCCACTTTTGAACTGTTGTGGAACAGAAAGGAATATTGTTTTATGACTCCTGGTATAATTTGTCCAGCAAGCAACATTTTGCAGGATTATGTGAGTCCAGGTAAAAATTTGAGACACAAACGGCAATTAATAAATGTATTAGCAAATATGTTTACAGAAAAGTAAGGAAAGTGTGGCAAATACCTCCACTTGGTTTGCCAAGATTCCCATTAGGTGGTGCTGTATATGTACTGCAAAAGGACAAACCTATTCCTTCTTCTCTCTTTATTCTTTCTTTTGTCCCAAAATGTAGCAATGTTGATATGCTCCTTGTCCTCTGCTGGGGATAATATCTTTCCCCTCAGTGGCTGAACTTTTCACACACACACAGACACATGCAATTCCTAATAGCCAAGTTTTAATGATTTTCTTTTTCAGTTGTCTACACACTAGTATATTTTCTCTCTTTTGTTAATCATTTATTAGTTATATAAAACTACATGAAAATATCTCCATGTTGAAATTTATTTTGTTTCCTTTCATCCCTACTTGTCATTTATATGTGAAAATGTTGCTTGCCATTGCTTTTGGTTGAGTCAGAAGCAGTATCTCCTACAAAAGAAATGAACTTTATTGTTGGAGTTATTGACAGTTCAACACCATCTTCAGTTGATGTTACTGAAGAACTTACATGCTGTGTGTTTTGCAAAAGAAAGAAAAAATAATATTGTTGCTCCACAGTCAAAAGGAAGATGAGCAAGTTATTCAAAGATCATTTTGCATGTGATTTTAGACAGAGGTGGTAATCAAACAGATCTCTGTCAAGGCTAGAATGTGAGTATTGTGTAGCTCCAGTCCAGATATTGCAGTAATACTTAATTTTTGATATGATCTGACAATTTTAAAGATAGTGTATGGCAGGAGAAATCAGATACTTTCTGGAGGGACAATGTCTAGTGACATTTAAAATAGATGTAATTATAAATTGATCTGCAAGATCATCTTTTATGGTAAATTCTAGTGAGGAGAAGCAGAGAAATCTTCTCAAAGGATAATTTTCTAAAATGTTTCCTCACAGTTCACAAGAGAAACTTCTGCAAGGTCTATTTTTGTGCCCATCTTTATGTCTAAGTATTGTTATTGCAACAAAAAGACTATCCATCCTTTTTTAATCCAAATGTGATGAACTTTGAGTGTTGTTTATGCCTTTCTCTATATTTAATCACAAATACATGTCAAGCAATATACACCACTAATATCCTTTTGTGTGGTGATATAGTAAATACAAACATTGGTTAGTCAAATATTGCTGTCATCTAATGTTTTTCAATCAATGTAGTGAAACAGTTTACTCTGATTTAGCAGGAACAAACAAAAATTGGTATCACAAGAACAAAAATAAATATAATCATCATGTACGATATTACAGCCCAAATAATGGATTCCAGAAGATGGCTAAAAAGATTGATTGATTTGCTTGTTTAATGGCATATCAACACCTTATGGGTCATTTAATGCCGAAATTTAATTTTTGTTGTAGAGTAGTTTCACAGTGGAGGTTGGTATTTCACTAAGTCAGTCCTAAAATAGGTTTGACGTACAAAACGTTAGGAACTTGATATAATAGGTAATGACGCAGAGAAATCTAGTGGTGGTCGCTGATACTTTTAGTATCTGACTAACGGTCGTCCGACATCAACTGACTGACCAACTCTCTGAGCAACTACCCTCGTTACTCTTACTACTCCTACTTATTATAGGTGGGAGAGTCTATTAACTATAGAATAGGTGTGTTCCACTATAACAATTTTCTAGGAAGCTTTGAAATGATAAAATTATGATACATGTTATTCTGCTTTTACAACTACATGAATACATGGTAGATGATACTCAGCTTTTGTGCATATATATGTTTGTGTGGAGATAATTATTAGAGGAAGTGTGTTATTGTGTGTTTTATGATGTAGTTTTGTTGAAGTTATATTTTGCAATATAGTTTGATTAAGAAATTTTAAGATATTATATGGATTAATATCATGAAAGTTCTTTCATGTTGGTTGATTTTGTTTTGCAGTATATCAAACTTTATGAGTTATTTAATGTTGAAATCTAAATATTTTGAAGAATTTTATGGCTTCAACTACATATATTTTGAATGCAATTGTTTGCCTTCAACTACAGATAAAATGTTTTGTTGGTCATTTTGCTGTAAAATGAATTGTCACTAATTCTACTATAAAATATATTAATGGTCATTTTGCTTTAAAATGTATTGTTGGTGATTTTACTATAAAATGTATTTTATACTTTCATAGTGTTTTGTTTTTGTTTGGAGAGGGGCTTCATGATTTCCTCATAGTTGGGACCCTAAGATGCTACCACCATGGGTCAGTGCGAACCTCGGAGCAACAGCAATTAAGAGCTGACTTTGTGCTCCTCAAAACCTCTTGGTCAGAGGCCTTGCTACCAGATGTATTTTATCAACATACTCAGGATTAGAAAGTATTTGATTGAAATGTCATGTCTATAATAACACCTATATAAGATGAGAACAAGAGTTTGAATAAACCAAATAGCCTTAATTTGTTTATTGCTGCATGCTGACTTAGTTGAGGTACTCACAAGTTGCTCTAACTGAAAAGTATTAAAAATAATTAAAAATATTATTGTTTTGTAAGTTACTAGGAACTGTTAGTGATCTGTATTTTTAATTGCATGAATGTATCTGTAGTAGGATTAGGTAGTAATAACACCATATGAAAATATACACTTTCCTCTTTACTGAGTGAGTGACAAAGAAAACTCTCTCTTCCTCTTTTCTATATATTTCCTTTCTTTTCCTTCCTTATATTGTTCCTTTTTTTGGTAATGGACATGAACCCAGACTTAGTTTATGTGGGTCAGTGAAAGTCATAAAAAAAATCAACTAATGACAACACATCCTACCAAAAATCAAACAGGAAACATGGATGTGTCAGCCCCAATAAAAAGAAGAAAACCATGTACGAGATGAGAGATGCCACAGTGGAGAGGATCATGATTCAAGGTAGCAGTTTGAGACACAAGGGTTGGTGATTCATCGGCTGTGAGTTTGACCTGACATACAACTCCAGAAGAGTAAGAAGAAGAAAGGATGAATGCAATGAATTAATTTCTGTCAACCAGAAGGAACACGACAACTCTGTATGAACTCTCAAAACACAAAAAAGAACTATGATAATAGTCAACTGTAATCAAATGGAGTCAACAATGAATGGCACTATAAACAGTAAATTTGGTCTTTACTTCTTTATATACCATAGGTCATTAATTTTGCATATTTGATATGTAGTGATTTAATGTTGTTGTATGGATGTAAGCAGGGGAAGTAAATGGTTTCATGTTCATAGTTTGTTATAATTAAAAGGTTTCAATTTTTAAAAATAATTTGCTCCTCTGTTTTGAAAATAAATATGGCAGTTATTGCAATAGGGTCAAATGACTTAGATTTCTCAGTGTAGCTAAATGAACGTAATTTAATTTTTTTCATGAAAATAACAAAATTCAATTTAACATGGTGTTTTTCTGTTGTTTAATTTGTGCATTATCCCACTTGACTTTTCTAAAAAAAAACCCGTCTCTGGGGGTGTTCCCTAAGCCTATAAAAATGCATACATTTTTCTCCCTATTCGTTTTTCTCTTTTACAACTCTGGTTATAAGATGTATTTGCATGTGGGAAAAAATTGTCCCCCACTGGGGGTGCATTCAATTTCATGGTTTTACTTTTTTCTCATTACTTTGTATTCTTTCACACATGTGTCTATCATATAGGCTTATCAATTTTCACACACACAAAAACACATTCTCTAGTTTAAATATTTTTTATGAAACTAGTCTTTAAATGTTTTCTTTCTTTATTCTAATTGTAATTCCTTTTGTCAATACAAATTGGTTGTCATTTGTTTTATATTGTTTTGTGTTACATATTATTTTTACTTGGACTCACATTGAGTCCACCAATAATTTTTGTAGGATAAATTTTCCAGGAGCCTGTAAATATTTACTCTTCAGAGTGTTGATTCCTGCAACATAATGGTGACTAAATATTTACCCAAAATATACAAGCTATCCTGCAACAAATTTTCCTCAAATAAAAAATAAGGACTTTAATTCATTCTTTTAAATATTATCATATTTTACCTTGGCTCTGTTACAAATGGGTTAGTGTCATGAGGGGGGAGTGAAAGTGATTAGCATCCATAGTTCTTTGATAATACAGATTTAATAAATAACCAGCATACCTAAGCTTATGTGTATGTGCAAGTGATGTAATAGGTCGTGGTTTGGAATAAGAAATTGGAGATCCTAGTTTGAATTCCAGTTGAATTCTTTACATTCACTTACCTGCAAATAGCCTTGGGAAGGGCATGAACTCATCTCCTCCATTTATGGGTTAAATAGTAGGACTCGTATGTGAAAAAATCATTGTTAACTCCACAAAAATTTTTAATGCAAAATTCACTCGCAAAAAAAAAAAAAATTATTCTTACAATCCCCAAAATGTGTTTTGGCTTTAAATGACCCACAAAGGGTTGATAAAAAGAAAAAAAAATCAATCTAACCTAAGCTTAATTTGTGGAAGTTTGAATTTTTATGCAACCTTGTTTAAACTTCCATAAATTTATTGAAAAGTAAAGAATGAACAAGATTTTGTGAATTATAATTTTTTTAATGCAGCAGTTTAAAATTTCGTCCTTGATAGAAGAGCCTTAGTGTGCTTCAAACATGTGTGGAGAGAGAGAGAGAGAGAGAGAGAGAGAGAGAGAGAGAGAGAGAGAGAGATTATAAAAAATGCAATTTTCCATGAAGGGGAGAGAATAAAATGTGACTGAAAAGGAAATAAAAGTTACTTACCTTGTCGGTGAATAACTAAAAATACAACGTATCCAATCCAATTCGTATGAATAAACAGTAGTGAATGGCCTTTGATGTGTATCTTATATATATATATATATATATATATATATATATATATATATATATATATATATATATATATATATAATTTCTAATAATTTCCTGCTCTTTGTTGCTCTTGATAAATTTCGTCTTTTTGTTATCTCTCTTAAACCCTGTTCTGCCATCCATTTACTCAAGCTTGCAAGGTAGGTTATGCATTGTTTTCCTCTGTTCCTCCTGCTTTCAATCTGCCCTATGAGTATCAAAATTTCCAAGCATTCTTTCCTCATTATTTGCCCTAGAAATTACAACTGTCTCTTTCTGATGTTAAGTATAAATGTCCCTCTTGTTTCCATTTTGTCTAAAACTTTGTCATTGCTCTCATGTTTGGTTTATGCTATTCTCATCATCCTTCTGTAGAACCATGTTTCTGTTGCTTCAAGTCTCTTCTCCATCTGTGAGGAGACTGTCCAGAATTGACTGCCATATAGAAGGACTGATATTACAGTTCAGTATTCTTTTTTTTCTAATGAAATTCATTATTGACTAGAAAAACCCATGAAAATTTCATGTTTTTCCTATTTGATTTTTTTGATGAATTTTAATTCTTAATTTAATGATTGACTAAGCTCCTGGTGAGTTCTATGACAATAAAATATCCATAAAATTTCTCCTATTGCATTGTTAAATATTTGAGCTTAACAACTTTAACAAAATATTGCAATAACAATCATAGATATGAATGTTGGTTGTTATTTTAAGAAGTAAGGAGGTACAAATTGAAAAGATTTGAAACCAACAACTTTTTCCATTTCACTGAAACAGACATTAAACTTTTCTATCTTCTTTCTTTCACTTTTTTCACTAAAACCAAGTAGGTCTCTGATATGTCTTTTTCGTCTTTCCACTAAATCAAAATTGAATAGTCCATTATTTATTAGGCATTTACAGGAAACATTAAACACTTCTTTCTTTCTTTCTTTTCTTTCTTTCTTTCTTTCTTTCTTTCTTTCTGTTATAGTGGAACACACCTATTCTATAGTTAATAGATTCTCCCACCTATAATAAGTAAGGGTAGTAAGAGTAACGTGGGAGTCGCTCAGTGAGTCGATGTCGGATGACGGTTATTCAAATACTAAAGTATCAGTGACCACAAATAGATTACTCTGCATTATACCTATTATATCAAGTTCCTAACGTTTTGTACGTCAAACCTATTTTAGGACCGACTTAGTACAAATACAAGCCTCCACTGTGAAATCACTCCACAGCACTTTCTTTCTTTCTTTCTTTGAAACCAAGTAGGTCTCTGATATATCTTTTTTGTCTTTCCACTTTTCCATGCAATCAAAATGGAACAGTCCATTATTTATGAGGTATTGACAGGATGTAATAGTCATGCTAACTAAAGAATGGCCAAGCAGACTTCTAATAATATATTTAAGAAAAGTAAATATTTTGTTTGCAATTGGTCAAGTTATAAAATATGTTTTTCTGATGAATCTGCTTACGAGTGGAGAATTTAGTGATTTTATCAAATTTTAATTTTAGAGTGATTTTTATAATTATTCATAATGTTGGATGTTCTAATAATCAGTATAAATTAATGCTTTATGCAAATAATTAACTATAGTAGAATTAGTGAATTAATTCTTACAAAAAAAGAAAATACCAATACTAACACTTTACTTCTGTATTCTTTACTGAGTGCTAAAAATATTTAGTTAGTACATACGTTTGTAACGTTGTTTTAGTGAATTTCAAAGATAATGATTTATTCTATGACGTGTATCATTTTGATGCATTATTTTTTGCCATCTCTGAGACAGGTCCATGATTCCATCCTCACAGAACATGGCATCATTCTGGGTGATGAACTGGCCTAAGTCGTTTTTACAGGCTTGCAGAGAACTGACATTCTTCCCATTTGGAGAATCTTGTAGCGATCAGTTGCATCATTTATTCCTATCCATGCTTTTTCTAAGTCATTAGTGTGAAGTGAATACAGATTATCTTAGAGCAGTGGTTCCCAAACAGTGCAGCATGCATCATAGGTGCAGAGGAAGAGGATAACAGGTGAGGCGGAATGAATGAAAGACAAAGATTTAGAAGCAGTTTAAAAAAAATTATATGCCAAAAATAAATATGATATCAAAATTTAAAATATTATTATAGATTACTTGTAATTTGCATGCATGAGTCCCAGTATAAATAGTTGTAAATAATTATTGACCAATTTTATTATCGTGATATTTTTGCATTATATCAATTATTAAGAATATAGTAACTAGGCTCTGCAAATTGAAGAGAGTTATCTATGATAATGTTTTGACTTTGAATTCATGGTTATCTCCCTTTAACTCTCTCTCTCTCTCTCTCTCTCTCTGGACCTTCTTTGCTATAGAGCTGCTGATGAGAGTTTGTTTATCTCAAATTAGGCTTAATGTAAAGGAGATTTCATGTCAAAAACAAGCTCATGTCTTTCATTAAATTTGTATAATTTAATCATATAAGTTATTTGTGTTATATATTATATTTAATGCACTATTAGTTGTCATTTGTTATTTTTTAATATACTTTTTATCACATAAAATTTTGAGACATGAGCAAATTTTCATTCTAAAAATGAGGCCCAGAGAAAAAAAATTTGGGGAACCACTCTCTCAGAGTTTCAACTCTGCTTGCTACTTTCATTTTCTCTGCCTACTAACTGCTTAACCACTAGTCCTGCCACTGGTATTTTTTAGGAATAGATAAATATTTATATAGATACTTACAATGGTCTTCATTGAGTCAAGCTTCCCTGATAGACTAATTTTCAACCCTTAGTGTCCAGCAGATTTATTGGCTATAAGATGAATACAAGCAAAAAGTCCATGCTTTATAATAAATTATAAATAATTATATCATTAAATTGATTATTTCCTTATCCTGTTTATTTTTCAGACTGTTATCTTCATCTTTGTTGTTTTTAATATTTTAGGGTTGTATATTGTGTCTAGTGGATTTGGGAAATCACTTTACATTTTTTTGTTTTCTTCTTAACTCAAACTTCGCGGTTCCATAGAGTCACAGAATTAAGTATGAAATTCTAAGGCTGGTAGGGTTAATATGAGAATAAGGAAGACTGGAATTTCAGCAAAGTTTAATCTCTGTGCCCACCCCACCAAAAGTGTGTGAAAACCTTTTCCCTTGACACTGCTATCATTTTATACTACCTTCACTCTTTTGACAATATTTATTGTTTCAAATAGTGATGTTTAGAATTTTAATAAAACCTAAGCATATGAAAGTGAATTTATACATTTTCTTTGTTCTTGAGAGTTGACAACAAAAATATTGAACATTATTTATTATTCATTTATTTAGTTTATTTACAAGAATAATATTATATTTACAACATTTTAAAAATGCAAACCAACTAATACAATGTTTATCATTTACCAATTTACAAAGCAATAAATATAAAAATAATTTTTTAATTCATAAATTTATAGAAATGTCTATGAACAAGAAAATGAATATTTAAGAGCATTCTTAAATCTAAAGTTTTGAAAAACCAATAACATTTTTGCTCTTGTATGTAAATACTTGCTACAAAATAAAATCCTTGCTTTTGCCTCCAGAGCAGCATTTCTCAACCTTTTTACCCTTGCGTAACCCTTAAAATAAATTTCATGTCTCAAGGACCCCCTGCAAAAAAACAAAATTATACACCATATCTTTCTCATTTTATTTTCATCATAGTTCACATGATAAATATCATAGTAGATATTTTTGAATAACTGGTTTAAAGAAAAATTAATACTTCTTTGTCAAATTTTTCGGTAATGCTAAATAAAATTCATACTGTTTGTTTTTAATACTTCATCAGGGAGTTTTCAATCACACAAAGAAATTCTAAACTCAGACGTAAAAAATAAACACATTAGGTGATTAGGTATTTCTGTAAAAATAAAGAAATAAGTAACTTTAAGTACAGGTCCTGTTTGCTGAGTGGGCACTGACTAGTGAAGGTGGTTTCACACTGGTGCCATACAGACATCACTAAACATATTCCCAATGATTCTTATATTTTTTAATAACATAATAGGTTAGATAGGATGATGTCTATATTACAATAACCAAGAATATATTGTGTGTATTTAGTAATATTACATATATGAAATTAAATAAAAAGTCAAAAGTGCATTAGCTTATCTCACCTGTTCTTGTGGAACACTTGGGGACCTTTTGTGAAACCTTAGTGTTCCGAGGAACTCCTGTTGAGAAATGCTGCTCAGAGGATGAAGTGCATCATCTAAAATAAGTTTTCCTTTTGTTTTTATTCAAGAATATTTAAATAAACACATAACAATAAATAACTGTAATTAAACACTTTGCAAAAATGCATTTCATGGCCAATTCTTTGCTTTGCTCTCAACACATAAATTTCTTTGCTTTGCTCTCAACACATAAATTTCTTTGCTTTGCTCTCAACACATAAATTTCTTTGCTTTGCTCTCAACACATAAATTTCTTTCCTTTGCTCTCAACACATAAATTCACTGAAATAGGTTAAGAATATTGCTTCCTTTTGATCAAACATTCTTTTAATTTTAGATTTTAAGCAGGACCAAAAACAATCAATATTTTGAGTGTGTGTCTCCCCATTCATTGGGTGGACAAAGTTTTCATTGTGTATAATTACAGAATATATATAATTTCTATCAGATTTTTTGGGGGTGGGGGATACTGTGGGAAAATGAAATAAAACCAATAAATAAAATAATAAAAAAATAATTAATTAATTTTCCCATGATGCAAGTTATAAAGAAACTGGAAAGGGTTTCTGGTCACATGTGATTTTATGGCCCCACTTCTGCAAAGGACAGAATCTTTCTTTTTCTCCACTTTGCTTCAAGAT